CCTGGCAGGGCTTTGCGGGGAGATGCAAGCCGCATGGTTGGCCGCCAGGCTGGGGTCGGATCGCGTCTGGCGGCCAGGGCAGACGCGGCCTTGCGGCAAGTGGGGAAGGGCCCCTTTCGCTGGCGTTCGCCTTCGGGCCTGTGCCCGCCGTCGCTCCCCGGCGCGCCCCCTTTGGACAGCGCAGGACTCTCTCCGGTCTCTGGGGCACCGCTGGTTGTGCCAGGCGCGCGCACGCTCGGCGGCACGGCTTCCATGGCCGGGGCGCGAGCTGCTTTGCCAGCGGCGCCCTGGGCGCCTGGCGAGGGCGCCTGAGGTTCGTCGCCCGCAAGGAGCTCACTGACGGGGGAAGGGGGGCGAATAGGCGCGAGGGGGGTTCTCCCGACGAGCCAGCGGATGGCTTCGCTGTCCTGCGTCTGGATGGTTGCTCCGCGGTCTCCCTGCTGGGTGCGTGCCGCTCCCAGAGGACTGCTGACGGACTGATTGCTCTGAGGGGGATACTCCGCGGCTTCCGCGGCCTCCGCCGTCTCCGCCGTGACTTCCCGCCCCTTTCCTCTGCCCTGCTGGTACTGCTAAAGGGGGGGTGTTAGTGTGAGCTGTACACTGGTCACTGCAAGCAACCGCCTCTCGATTCCCCACTGGAACGTCCTCGTTAGACAACGATCGATTCCCCCCTGGGGCGTCATCATCTGTCAACGGAGCGGGGGGGGGCATGTTGCTGCTGCTGCTGCTGCTGCTATGTTCGGAGATGTCGCTGTGAGTATCGAGATCTCTCGCGCCAGCGCCGGGCGCCACGGTCTGTGCCCAGGCAGCGGCAGGGGCCTTCGGGAGCGCAACGAGCCCGCGCGGGATGTCCGCGAACTCCAGGTCGTCCGACGGCGACTTGGGCAGCTTGCCAGCGATGTCAGGCGCGACGTAGCCCATGGTCGCCAGCATGCCCACGCGGCCGTTCTTCAGCTCTGCCTGCCACTGGTGAGCGAGATTCTCCGCGCTGCCGTCCGCTGCGCAGCCAGCAGGGCCCCAAAGGCCCGAGGGGCCCTGAACACCCAACGCGCTCTCGAACTTGAAGGTGCGCAGCGGGGATCCAGCGCACAGCGCCCCATCGCCCTGGGCGGAGCCAATCCGGCAGTCCTGGAGGAACACGCCGAGGATCGCCAACCTGGCAAGGCGGTCGTTCGCAATGTCCACCGCGGGGTCGCTGGACGTCAACACCGCGAAGGCGAAGTTGCGCGCAGCAGCCGTGATGTCCGCGGACTGGTCCTCGGGGACAGCGGCCACAGCGAACACGTGCTCTTCTCGCACGCGCTGGTCAGGGTGCCTTAAGTGATGATGTTGGGCTTCAGCTTCGCTGCCGCCATCTCGCTCAGCAGCGCCATTGGCTGCTGGCGCTGCCAACGCCTGCTCCTCTCGCACTCGCTGATCTGGGCGCTGCAGGGGATGGTGCTGGGCTCCAGCTGCACGACCACCATCTCGCTCAGCAGCGCCTTTGTTTGCTGTCGCTGCCAACGCCTGTTCCTCTCGCACGCGCTGTTCAGGGCGCTGTAGGCGTTGATGTTGGGCTCCAGCTGCACGACCACAATCTCGCTCAGCAATGCCACTGCCTGCTGTCACTGCCACCAGCCGTTCCGGATGTGGTAGGTCATGATGCTGGGCTTCAGCTGCAAGACCGCCATCTCGCACAGCAGCGCCACAGTCTGCAACCACTGCCGAGACTGCTCTTCTCGCACGCGCTGTTCACAGTGACGTACGCGATGATGTTGGGCTCCAGTTTCACGGCCACAATCTCGCCCAGCAGCGCCACATCCTGCCGCCACTGCTGACGCCTGCTCTTCACGCACGCGCTCTTCACAGCGCCGTAGGCGATGATGTTGGGCTCCAGCTTCGCTACCACAACCTCGCCCAACAGCGCCACAACCTGCCGCCACTGCTGCCGCCTGCTCTTCTCGCACGCGCTCTTCACAGTGCCGTTGGTGAAGATGGTGGGCTCCAGCTTCGCGGCCACAATCTCGCCCAGCAGCGGTACTGCCTGCTGCCACTGCCGACGCCTGCTCTTCTCGCACGCGCTGTTCACCGTGCCAGACTTGATGAACGTGGGCTTCAGCTTCACGACCGGGGCCTCGACCAGCAGCGCCACATCCTGCTGTCACTGCTGACGCCTGCTCTTCAAGCACGCGCTCTTCACAGTGCCGTAGGTGATGATGTTGGGCTCCAGCTTCGCTGCCACAATCTCGCCCAGCAGCGCCACAACCTGCTGCCACTACTGCCGCCTGCTCTTCTCGCACGCGCTCTTCACAGTGCCGTTGGTGAAGATGGTGGGCTCCAGCTTCGCGGCCACAATCTCGCCCAGCCGCGACACTGCCTGCTGCCACTGCCAACGCCTGCTCGTCTCGCACGCGCTGTTCACAGTGCCGTACGTGATGATGGTGGGCTCCAGCTTCAAGACCAGGATCTCGCTCACCAGCGCTACGGCCAGCTGCCACTGCCAGCGCCTGCCCTTCTCGCACCAGCTGTTCAGGATGACGTAGGAGATGATGTTGGGAACCGGCACCATGTCCAATGAGGCCGACCGCGGCGGCCGCCGCCAGCGGCCCGCCAGAGGCGTCCGCGGCGGCGGCGGCGGCAGCGGCGGCCGCGACACCAGCAGCAGCAGGAGCGGGGCGCCAGCGGCCGCGGCGGCCACGGCGGCGGCCGCCGCACCCGCGGCGGCCGCGGCCGCCGCGGCAGGCCCCAGAGCGGCGGCGCGCGCCACAGCGCCGGCGGCCGCCGCCGCAGCCGCGGCGGCCGCCGCGGCGGCGGCCGCCGCGGCGGCGGCGCCGCTGGCCACGCCGAGGCTGCCAGGGGCCACGCCGGGCCGCGGCGGCAGCAGGCCGGCCGGGCCGGCCGCGGCGGCGGCGCGGCAGGCGGCGGCGTGCCGCTGCCGCCGCCGCCGCTCCGATCGCGACTCCATGGCCGAGCGAGCGGGGGCGCGGAGGGGGGCGAACCCCTCGCGCGCGGGGAGGCCGAGGACCGAGGGGCGGGCCCCCGGCCACGGCCGGCCAGCCGCGTGCCAGGGCTACGGATGGAAAAGTGGAGATACGCGAAGCGTGAAAAGTTGATTGAAGGTGATGACGATATGGTGATGATGATGATGATGATGATGATGATGATGATGATGATGATGATGATGATGATGAAGAAGAAGAGAGCGATGATGATAATGATGCTGATGATGATGCTGATGATGCTGACGATGCTGATGATGCTGATGATGCTGATGATGCTGATGATGCTGATGCTGATGCTGATGACGATGATGTTGATGATGCTGATGCTGATGCTGATGCTGATGCTGATGCTGATGCTGATGCTGATGACGATGATTACGATGATGATGATGATGATGATGATGATGATGATGATGATGTTGATGATGTTGATGATGGGGGCGATGGTGATGATGATGATAATGATGATGGTGATGGTGATGGCGATGGGGATGGTGATGGTGATGGTGATGGTGGTTGTGATGGTGATGGTGATGGTGATGGTGGGTGATGGTGATGATGATGGTGATGATGATGGTGATGGTGATGGTGATGGTGTTGGTGATGCCGGTGGTATCGGCTTGCTGGGTGAACGTGAAGATAATGGCGGTGGCGATGATGAAGAAGAAGACAAAGATGATGATGGTGATGATGATGCTGATCAGGACCATGGTCGGCCACAAAGTCCGCAGATTGCCAGCGCGCCGATCACCTGCAACGGCCGAGTGGGACTGAAAAGAACCGAGAATGCAAGCACGCTCGGCGAGCCCACGCAGCAAAACTGTCGCAAAAGCCCACAGCCCACGCCGATGCGATCCCGGCCAACACTGGAAGAGGCCACCAGGCGCTCACAGTGCACGCTGAAGGAGCGTCCAAGCAGCAAGCTTCACCAACCAGGGGACGACGCCCACCCTGCGCAGGAAAAGCTCACACGGCGAGCCCGAGGCTGAGTAGCAGCCCGGCCGCCAGATCAATCGGCGGTGGACAAACATCCCTTTAGTAAACCTCCCCTTAGTGAAGGCGGCCTGGGACCGAAACCGACGGACCTGGACCCGCACAAATGACGGCCGCGACGCCCTCTCGCGAACCGAAAACGGCCGATTCACTCGTCGACGTGCCAGAGTAGGTCTGTCCGCCCCCGTATCAGGCCAAGAAGCACCGCCATCGCTCCACTGCCGACTCATCCGGCCAGGCACGCGCGGCCTCACTCCGAGCCCCTCGGCGCGCCTGCTCCCGAGGGCGCCTGCTCCGTCGGCGCCTGCCCCGTCCTCCGCGGTGTGCGGGAGGAGCCCGGCGAGCTCGCGCGCGGCCACCCCCCACGCCGCCGCCAAGGCGAGGGGGTCGGAGTGCGAGGGGCCTCTTGTAGGGAAACGAACTCTATGCACCGACGCTTCTGTCCGACCCTGCGCCGAAATTCGCACGGGAACGCGGATCCTGGTGCATACGGGATCCTGGTATATACACTCCTCGCTGTTTCCCTGGGAAAACTGGGGAAAAGTATACCCCAGTCCACCCCGACGTCATCCCCGACCCTCTAAAAGCCCTGGGATTGAAAAACCGCCCGCCACTGGAAATGTAGATGCTCCATTTTCCGATCTTGTCCGCGGTGTGCAGGAGGAGCCCGACGAGCTCGCGCGCGGCCACCCCCCACGCCGCCGCCAAGGCGAGGGGGTCGGAGTGCGAGGGGCCTCTTGTCCGCGCCGCACCCGAAAACGAAGAGGTCGGGCGGCGCCGCGGCGTGGGCGGCGAAGTCGGCGTCGCGGTCCAAGGCACGACCTGCCCCGTCCTCAGGACCAGGGAGCGCCGCTCCAGCGTGCACATCGCCTCCACGACTCTGCTGCTGCGGCAGAAGGGGCTGCACGAGGCCGAGAACAGACGGAAGCCGACGACCGCCATCTGCATTGTGAGCGGCATCCCCACGATCAGGTAGGTCCACGATGGCACCGTCGCTGATGTCCGCGTGCGGAGTGACGATAGCATTCACACCTCCACGGTCGCCAGGAGCCATCTCGCCCACAGTAAGTCTGCCCCGAGCTTCACGATGATGACGCCTACGGTCTCCAACCTCCCGCACTGATCGAAGCGCCGCTGCCTGAGAAACACGCCCACGATGCCCATGGAACGAACGGTCTCAGGAGCCAGCAGCCAGGGCGCTGCCGACACGACGTTCGCCCCGAGCTCCACGATGATCTTTACGACGATTTTCCTGATAAACTTCGACCTCCAGCTCTGGTCGAAACTCCGCGGCGTGGAAAAGACGCCCACGAGGCCCAGAAAGAGGCCGCGGTAGAGGATGTCCCCTCTGGGTGAGCAGGAGCTGCGTCGAGACGAGGAAGTCCCGCGGCCTCACCTTGAGCCACGGTCTCGGCGACGTCGTATGCAGTATCAGCGACGCC